CCCTGACAATAATTTTAGGTTTGCAGAATATCTATCTGCAGAGGAACTCCTATCATAACTTCTGAAAGCACAGAGGCTGGCACTTCGAACCCTGGCATCTTTTCTGTTCTCATAGATTACCCAGCTATTGCAATTATTTATTGTTGGGCATAGTATTCCTGCATTCGCTATGTATCCTACAAACAACTTACTTTTCCTTCAGGCACCAGTAGTTCTGCTGACATCAGCTGAAGTAGGATGAGCTTAAGTTTATTATCAAAGTGTTCAGGATACTGGTTGGGCTTTTTCTGAAATTCAATGCGAGAGCCATGAAGACAGGTCAGCTGCTTAGTGCTCCAGAAAACCTGAAATAAACTCTGCAGAGCTTTCTGCAAGTCTTGTTAGTTTTGAAAACAATGGGAACTTGAGTGCTTGATATATTTGAACAAATGGAGGTAAGTCAGCTCAATGAAACCTTTCCAAGTAACTTAACCGTAGCTTTCAAAAGCATCCAGGCAAAGGTAGGGTTGCAGCATCAAGTCATAATCAGTGAGACAGACCAAGATGCCATCTTCACTCTTTATAGGGTTGGGGCTGGTTGTGTAGCCCACATAACATGGCACGGGACCATGTCCCTCCATCAGTAAGAGAAGGAAGGGCATGGAAGGGGGAAACCCCTTATAGTTTGCTTCTAGTAAATCTCCTGTTTTCTCAGGCATCACATTTTGATCACAACTTCTATATTCCTCTGCCATGTTCTTGTATTTTTCAGCAGCCTAGCTCAAAGCATCCCATCTGTATGAACATGTTTCCCAGCCCTAACCTGGTGGAAAGACTGGAAAAGCATTACTGAACAGCCACTGTGACAGTGAATTTATGTCTGGGCTGCTCTCCTGCTGAGGCAGGGGCAGGACCCAACCTGTGGGTTGCTGTCATCCAATCTCTCCATAAACTTCTTTCTGCTTTAGCCTATGCCTTTAACTGCACCCACAAGTCTCTGGAGGATCCCCAAGATGCAGTTCAGCAGTGCCTACACAATCTTCATCTCATTTCCATCTGAGTGCCTACTGTCCCTGTTACCGGACCATGACCCAAGCTTCATGAGTCCTCCCATGAAACTTGCTTACAACAGATGGAGGCAGGTGAAGGAAGTTCAGAGACCGAAGAAAAAAACAGAAGGAAAAGCCTTTTATCTATTTCAGTAAAATTTGTAACTGCCAAATGCATCTTCTCTGTCCTGAAGTGATAATCCTGTCCCCCTTCTGGCGTGATCCAGATGTAACCCTGGGAGAAGGAAGTAATTTATCTCAAGTCCTGTTGTTTTAAATGTGTGTCAGCCTCTAGGTTAGCATCTGAGGCCACCCGAGACACGTTTTTCACCTGCCTGCCTGCTCCTCTGCCTCCAGTCACCCGGCAAGCAGAGCTGGGGACTGGGCAGATGCAGCGGGAGCCCCGCACAAAGGGCTGACATGGGAGCATAAGAGAGGCTTATTTGTTTCACACCATTTCCCCAGCACCCATGCTGACAGACAGACAGCCTCCCACCAGTCCCTGTGGGGCATTGAGCAGCTCTGACACTGTGTGCATGCAGCTGGGAGGATGCCAGAGCTCTGCATCTCCTACCTGTTGCCTTAGAAACATACAAAGGGACATAGGCTTGTTTTCTTTCATCCTTTCTTTTTCATTTTTCTTTTGCCTTCTCTTTGCTCCTTGGGTAATGCACTGTGTGCCAAGTCTCAAGGTGGGAGGGAAGAGAGGAGTTAAAAAAAGAAAGGAGAGAGAAATGAGAATATCAAGACTAGGAAACATATTTTGAGAATAAATATGAAGGCAAGACACATTGAGACTGCTCTCAGGCTCATCCCTGACTGCTGTACTTCTGTAGTGTGCAGTAGGAATTCATGGCTGCCACATCAAGAGCAGTTGTATGAACCAGCTCTGACATCTGGCTTGCATTGAGGGATCTGAATGCTGTAACTGGACAATGTTTGTTTTCTCTTGCTTGAGCCTGAATCAAAGTTTTAATTAAAGAAAGTTCAGAGATGCTTTCAGCAGGGCTGCCCAGGGTCAGTGTGCAGAGGGTGTTTTCTTGGGGATACAAGCTGGTCATGGTATGACCTGCTCCTGAGGAGATGGGTACATTTTGGGGTGAGAGGAGTTGCAGAACCTAAAGCAACAGAGACAGATTACTCTCAGAACGACCCTATAACTGCCTCTGTGTACACAGAGGTCCAGAGCCGGAGGAATAACCACTGTCCCCAAGGATCCCATTGCCTCCTGTGTGCCTCTTCTTTCTGCCAGCAGTTACTCCTGTGGCTCCCACCCTTCTCACCTGATTTGTCCCACAGTTCCTCCTTCATTTAAAGGCAGCCCATGGCCTCTCCTTTCACCCTTTCCAATGAGGACCACCTCAACAATACCCCCTGCCACTCCTGGCTGCAGCTCTATTGCTACTTAGCTACTACTGTAAACTATTAGTTCTCAAGCTTTTGTATTAGGCAATATCTTTTTTTTTTTCAGATAATTTTCAGACTGTTAGTGAACCTTTAGGATAATTTTGAAATAAAACAGCCCTATCCCAATTTCTGAGCAGGCAGTACCACCGTAATAAAATATTTCAAGCATCTCAGATCTCTAGAAACCCCTTGAATCAGTTCCCAATCCCCATTAAAATTGCATCAGCAGTTCATCTCTCCCAGGCTATACTTGCTTGGAAAAACACCCAGTATATATCCTATGCCTCCAGTGCAAAGCACTGCAAAGCACATTAGGCAATTCATCCCGAAGTCAATATGTCAATCTGCAGCAGCAACTGAAAAACAGAAACCCAAAGCAGAGAGGTAGGTCTGTGGGATCCCCTTCTACAAAGAATGATATTAAAGGGCATTAATCTATTGGATGTAGCCAAGACTTCTAGATTGGCTGCTGGTGATGTCACAGCCACCCATGTGCCCTATAAATCTATTTTTGCTTTTATGTGTAAATGACGCAATTCCCGCAAGCTTCCTCAGGCAGGGTTCATTATTTAATTTCTCAGGTGGATGAAGTCATGGGCTTTGTGGTGTCTGCGGCCACCCACAATGTGCTCTCTCTGCCCAGAAATGAACCTCCTCTTAGGCCTTGTTTTCTCAATCGGCATCCACAGAATTAAAAGTCCGCTGACCACTGTATGTCATGGGAACACTTGGGAAACCATTTCTGGAATGATAAAACCATTTTGATCCCAAAATAATGTGTGTGTTTAAACTAAGACCTTTTTTGATAGAAGATAATTAGAGCCAAGTTTTGGTATGGTGGCGCACATTAAGAAAAACCCCACTTTTCTTGAGCAAACATCTACTTGGAAAATAACGCTTGCCAAGCAAGATAAAATCCTTGCTTTACTAATATTCTACCTTTAACAGAATTTTATCCCAAATTTTCTTTACCAGATGGGAGTGTATCTTTACTAACATCCTGGGGCTCCTAAGTTGTTCCTGGGGTGGTCCTCACCGCTGAAGTCATAAGAATTTGTCTCCTTTGTCCTGCCTGTTGGTGATAAAATATATCTCATACTTGTTTTAATCCTGCTCAACTCAAATCCTTGGGGTTGTTTACCTAAATGTTTATAAATCCAAGGAGTTACTTATCCATGAAAAACAGTTTCCTGAACACAGAGTCTTTCCTACACTGATCCAATTGGCCCTGAGGAATTAGCCTTCTACATACATAATACTACCTAGTGTGACAATAACAAACCCAGTAATTTTCTGGTAATATTCGTGATCCTCCTCTTTTTGGCAAATTGAAATATTGTGTCTTATTAGCAATTAAAATAAATTGAACAGAGCAGTGCAAAGGTTAAATTATGACCATATAAACACTGATTAGCATTCCTTAAACTGTGTAAATCCTTAAAGCCTGAAAGGATAATCTTCACAAATTACACTTACATTCATGAACCTAGAATCAAGCATCTCAAATAAAATTAGCTTTTCGAAGGGCCTGGTCTAAAGCACAGTGAAATCTGTATGAATCAACTGTATCCCAAAGACTAACAGTAAATTTCCTCACTGCCAGAGTTAGGCTTCCTACTGAGGAAACAGTATAAATGACAAGAGTAGATAAAAGCATTTTATTTATATAGGAAAACAAATATATTTGCAAATACATGCTTGTCGGCAAGCTCATTCTTCTACAGTAACAAAGCCATATACAAGCTACTTCAGATAGTGGCTATTTAATTTGAGTCTATATGCATCATAAATCTTAAAAGAAGAAGAAATAAACTGAGAGACACCATTTTCTCACAGAAGAAAAGATGATGAAGGGATTTTTTAATCTACAAGGTTGTGAATGACAAAACTACATTATTTAACTTCTCAAAGAACTTCAGAAAAAAAACCAGCACCATGAAAAAAAATGGATGTTCATGCTGTAGACAATACAAGCGGCTCCTGCCATTTATCACAATGAAAATGGTTGAAGATGTTTCGGGACAAGATGTTTTCAGCAAAGAATCTCAAAACAGCATTTTACTTTCTCTCCACTGTATATAAACCAGAATTTAAATGGTAGCAAAGAGAAAAAGAAGACTCATAAGGAAACTTCTTGTCCTTAGAAGCACTTTTTTACTCAGGGAGAATTTTTGCTGTGAAAGAGGCAAGACAAATGCTGTCAGGCAAGTGGAGCTCGTCAAATGATTTTCTCCCAAATATTTCTTCCTGCATTTTTATTCAGTCTTTTCTACGCTGAATGTCTATTGACCAGGATTTCATCACTGTAAAGCTGTTCCCCTGTACTTTCCATATGATTTTGATGGCTAGAGCGCTGTACCAGACATAGACCATCTATTGCAGGGCACAAGCCTCATGAACAAACCCCACTGGACACAGCCTGATGCTCAGCCTTTGACAGCACTGCTTTTCAGGAGCAGTACATCACCCTCCATAAGGCTCATCACAGTGTTCAAAGAAGGGCATGGAGGTTACACCACAGGTCCTACAGTGATGTGCCAAACCAAACCAAATTTGGCAGTGCTAACTTTCAAATATTAGGAAGCGGTACCACCTCCACAGAGGGTAGGAACAGGGACTTTGAGCTGAGACACGCTTTGCAGGACAGGCCCTTAGTGATGTCCTCCCTGTGCCTATCCTGCCAGGTTTGATGGCAGCACTTGGCTGGCTGGAAAAGTCACTCCATGTCACAGACCTGCAGCTAACTCCCAGAAAGCCACACCATGACACTAGCCAGGCTTAATCCCCTGCTGCACACACACAAGGTCTGCTGCTTCCCAAGTCTTGAGATGGCAGCCCAGGCCCTAAAGGCTGCACCGTGGAGGGCAAAGAATAAACATCCCGGCACCGCAGGCTGCCGCTGGGCACCCTGCATTCCCATGAGAAACTTGCAAAGTCGGATAAACTGCGTCACAGCAGCCTGCAAACCAGAGGCCTGGGTGGTTTAAAAATACTGCCTGACACATATTTCCCAGGCCATATATAGTTCACACATCTCACGGTAGCAGGAAGGAGCTGCAAAGACACACAGTGACACAGAGAAGGAAAAAAGCAACGGGAGACACAACTGCCAGCATGCAACAAAGCCAGGTTAAAAATAGCTGGGGCTGCAACAGCTCCCTTCTGGTGGGGGGGTACAGGGCCGCTGGCTCTCCCTGCCCTCACTGGCCCCTCTCCCTGCTGCCTATTTTATGCCAGGAGGAAAGGGTCAGAAGGAAGCCTTTGGTTCCTGTAGGCAGGAAGAGGGAAAATGACAGCCCTGCCTACTTTGACACTGAGCAGGCTTACCCAGGCTTGCACAGACACCCGGCTGGACCGGAGCTGCGGGAACCCCTTCCTGAGGGGTGGGATGGGGGCACAGGAAGAGCACAGCCTTGGATGGCCTTGCTCACAGCCCCCAGCAGCCACAGGCATCACTTCAAGCGATGTGATGCCACAATGCCCAGAGATGTGCTATCATACTGCACAGAAGGGAATGCAGCCTGCACTTTGGTAAGGGTTTTGTAACAAGTCTCATCTTCCTCCCCACACCCTGTGTGTGTTGAGTCCTCACACGGAGGCAAAGCCGAGCTGTCCAACCCTCCTCTAGTAAAATAAGGAAAAAGCAAAAATCACTTGTTTTGCCCATCACCTCTTCCCTCCTATAGTCATTGCATAAGGAAAGCAGCAACACGCCAAAAGGAGAGATGTGAACATCTTCGCCGTCACCTTCTCCTAGCCTGATACCTTGCAGGGAAAACACAAATATGAACATGTGTGCCCACAGGTGAGCCTGGCCTCCTGAAATCTCCTTGCCTGTAGGGATTTCCAGCAACCAGGTGAGCACTGCCTGGCCTGTGGCTTGTGTGGGGAAAAAAAGAGGTGTTGATATGTCTCCAAAGGCCACGCGATTCACTGTGGGTTAAAACATGACAAGTTTTAATTTGTTCCTCAGTATGTTGGGATCTTTTTATTTTATTCTTAGTCCTTGCATCTTGCAGACCTGGCTGCCCAGCTGCAGACAACTTCTGTCAGCTCCTAGATGCTGACACGAGGCACCAAGAGGGGTCTAAGCCAAAAGCCCAGATTCCAAACATCCCTGAACTCTGGAGAAGTTCAAATCCAGAGCACAAATCTTCAGTGAGAAGAGGAAAGCTGTAACATGATCCTAGCCCTGAGCAATAGAGGTAACACTCCAGTGTGGTCTGAAGGTGACTTCCAGAATATGTGGTGTGGAGCAGAGTGAAGGAGAGCGAAAAGCACAAAGGCATTTTTCATGTTAACAGGGTGTTTGCTGTCTGTGCGAGGGTGGGGAAGGCTGCTGACAGAGTAAAGGGGGTTAAGAGAGGTGACTGAACTCTGAATGGAACAAGGAGTGATATCAAAGAGCCCTGTAGGCTGTCAGAGAGGTGTCAAAAGTCGGGAAGGAGCAGAAAGACCAAGAATGCTAGCTTTCAGTGAGAAGTCCATCAGAGCACATCTGCATATCTGAGACTTTAAGACTGACAGCTACATTCAGGCTCACACACATCCCTGCCATGCCCTCTGCCTGGCTTTCACATGGCTAAAAATTCTTCTAATGCCTCAGCTCCAGTTCGGTTTGTAGGGGAAGGATGCCTCCAGCTAGAAGGGCAGCGCTGGGCATTGGCTGAACCATGCATGCGACAGCGAGCAGCACAGGACCCTGTGCATGCTGCCAGCAGCACTCACACAGCATGTCCAGCTAGACAGGCAGTGTGGTCTTTTCCCTATGGAGCACGAGAAACTGAATGCTGCTCCTCTAGCCCTCCATCAGCTTGCATCCCAGGCTTGAAGGAATTAAAGCCAGACACTAACTTGCCTTATCTAACTATCCAGCTGTCAAGGTTGCACAAGCAGAGATGGCTTCATATCAGAATATGGACTGATTCCTGTTCCCAGAAAGGCTCCTTGGATGGCTCACAGGGAGGCAGCAAACAGCCTGACTGGGTTTGCCTGATGCCATATTAATATGATGGGTGTGGGTAGACATACCAGCTTGAATTTAGAGAGTACCAAGCTGCAGCAACAGGGAACCACCCCCATCAGATTACACAGGGTTAACGTTTAAGGTCAGAGTGGTGCACATCTTAAGGTGATAGCAGTTCAGGCCATGCTTGCAGGAAGATAGGATGACAAACCCAAGTGTGACCATGCACAAGGTGTGCTTGCAAGAATGACCATGTGTGTGCCTCATTCCTCTCTCATGAGCCAGAGGAACAGAATCCTGGAGATATCTAACCTCTCTTCAGCCAGCTGCCAGTGACTGGTTAGATGGCTTCTGTGGCGTGCCATGACACCAGCTACGAAGAATAAAGGATAGCTTCCTGGCTCTCACTTCCTCAGTTAATGAATACCACCACTAATTAACTGACAGTAACGTGGAGTTATTCTTGGCTGAAGGTGGATCTTACTGAGGTCTTTCTGCTTGCGGGTTATGTAACTTAATACCCTGTGAGGCAGTTTGGGGTACAGTGTGAGAAAACCACTTGGAAAATGCCAAAGCAATAATCCAAGTCAGGATTTCCCCAGTAAGGTAATATGTTCCATACTTGCTGTGCCTTTGAGAAATTAAGAATTGAAGTTGCAGTGGCTCCAATGGGATGTTGTAAAGATTTCCAAATGGGTTGATGGAAACAGAGGACTACTGTGCTTAAGAGGTGGGTCCCTCTTCAGAGCAAAAGAAGATCAAGGCATTTATTTTTTTTCTTAAAGCAAACCTAAAGACAAAAATCCCACCCTGTGTAAAGTCACTCGGCTACCAAAGGGAAGGCACGCGGCTTCAGGCAGGCAGGCAGCTCTCCCTTTGCAGCAGCGGGGTCACACCATCCAGCCCACGTTAGGACTGGAGCTGTACTCTGAGTGAACTCTACCAAATTAGCTGTACATGATGCTGCATTCCCTCCTTTCTTGGAGGATCAAAGTGCCTGGATCCAGTCCCAGCTTTCTGCAGATAAGCAGGTCACAGGACTAGTTTGCACCTCTGTGCTGCTTGTAATACACTGTGTTAGAGATTCCTCTGGATTTCCTAGTTTGTGCCCATATACACTGGATACTTCTGGTCAATTTTTTTTCTTATTAGTGACCTAGGATACTTCTACAGACTCTTCCTTAACACCAGTACAGACTCTGGTAGTGTTACCTCTGATTATAAACTGCTACTGCTATTCATGCCCAAACACTCTTTATAATTCCCTTGTTTTGTATGAAAAGCTTATTCTATCCTTCAAAAGCCTTCTTCCACTAGCACAGCAGCATGAGGGCAGGAACAACAGCTCAGCAGCCTGATGCATTAAACCTTTTCTGAACGATGGTGGGAGAAAGACAAGGCTATCTGGTTTGGTAAGCCATGAGGCATCCCTAATGCCTAGGCAAAATGCATATGAAGAACAAGGGGTTGATGACAGCAATAATTGGAAATGCATTTCACATGTAGAAAAGTGTTAATTAGTTGTTTATCTGCAGGCACACTGTGGGCTTCACAATGGCACACGCAAGTTACAGCCATTAATTACTAGCAGGGTCTGAGAGACTGTCTCCGTAATTAAAATTTGTTATCAAGCAGCAGCAATGAGTGATATGAAAGACAACAGCAGAACATCTACCTCTATATTCTTCCTTAAAAAGATAACATGGGTTTGTGTCATAGGACTGAGTGATAAATTGACTATAATTTTAATCGTTGCTGATGTTTAAGCAAGAGATACATTTGTAAAATGAAAATGACAGCTTTAGAGCGAGTCATATTTTACCTATGAAGTTCATCTGTCAGTAGAAGCAGACACATGTTGAAACTATGCAAGAATTTATGTTAAATTTGGCAAGTAGTTTTAGATGAAAAAATAGAGATAAAACTGAGAAAAAAAAATCAAGCTGTTTTATTTAATTTTGGAATGACCTAATGCTCCTACTTTAGTTTAAAAATGCAAACAAATCCCTGATTTGTCCAGAGTACTCTGCTGATTTGAAGATAAATATATTTTCCCATTATCATACCCAGTTATAGCAGCAATGAATAGCACATGCTCCCGGTGTCTGTCCTCTCTGGAACATAAAAAAGTTTAAGCAGTGAATGAGGAAGAAATTTAAATAGAAGAATCCTATTAGTAAAATAAATTATGTGGCAATGCTTTGGATGAAAGACTTAAATGTTTTAGTTCATTTGTAAAAAATACATTGGGTATAATAACAGAATAGCACCGAATTAAACTTGCACAACTCCAGTGGGACTGGAAGCATCCTGAAGATTTTGGCTTGGAATCCTTATTTACAACATTTTCTTTAAACTGATACTGGAGCAGTGAACGCCATTCCCAAAATAAGAGTGCTCTTCATAATTATTTTCACAGGCTATTTTTGAGAAGGTTGATGAATTTTAAATGATTTCCAATGAGCCTACTTTAAAAGTTACACATTTGTCTTTGCTTGTTGTTAACAAAAATATTTGTTATTTAAAATTACTCATAACCTCCTTTCCAGAATATTTTTTTTGGCCAGGAAATTGTCTAAGACAAGCTGTATTTCCCAGTCTGTATCTGAGCTGTGTTCATCACTGACCGTGACTGTTGCATTTTCTGTGCTCTGCTGGGGTGGCTGAAAAACACCTGCAAACAAGGATTTGGAAGCACTGTTTCCAACTGTTCACTGAAACTCACATTTCCATGTTTTTCAGGTCATGAAATATCTATTTTTTTTCAGGAATATTATAGCCAAGTAGCCAACAGAAAGGTTTAATGAGATGTTTCTGTGCAGAAAACAGGAAAAAAAAATGAGCAGAATAAAGTCCAAACCAATACAAAAAAACTGTATTTGGTACAATACACCCTCCATCTCACAGCTTCATCCAGAAGTGAAGAAAACATTTCCCTGTGTCTAAGGACTCCCTGAAGAGGAATGGGCTTTCAGCAGGGAGGACGCACAGCGCTGTGCAAGCACTTCGCAGCAAGGAAATATGGGATCTCATGGCAGCCCTTATTGTAGAAGGTCTTCCTTTTAAATATGCGGCAAGTCACAAATTCAAAGAAAAGAATTGCATGAAAAGGAGCTGTAACTTTATATCTAAATGTGTAATTCAATTATAAATTTTATATCTTGGCCATCGGCCACAATAAATGTCCGATCAATCTGTGTAAAAGAAGAGATCATATTTCAAAAATGAGAAGTTAAAATCCAAGACCAGCCCTTAATTACCAGCCAATGACCACAAGAAACCCTCACAAAACCCCAAATTCAATTACCCAAAATATTATTGCTTGACAGTACTTTAGCCTTCTAGTTTGGACACTAAAACATTCCTGATGAGGAATGGGGAAGGGTGAGACAAACATTTTTTCCTGTGCCAACAAGATTTTCTTAAGTGGAACAATTTTTTCCTGTCAGAATAGCTTCTATCTAAACCACTTACCTTATAACACAGCTGCTAGAAGCAAAGTTACGAGGGAACGGGAAATTGCAAAAAAATGGGGAAAAACCTTGGGAAAGAAAATGAAAGAAAAGAAACTGAAAATAAAAGAAATTCAGGGGGAAAAGAAAAACAAAATTGAAAACTGAAAAAAAAATCCAGAAAATATTAGATCATGCAAAATAACTTTTCTGCACATCCTTATAATTTTTTTCCTTTCTATACCAGAATGTACACAAGAGGAAGTCAAATAACAGCAATGAATAACTGACAACCCAGTGTAAAAAAAATATCCCAAATCCCTGTGAAATCAGGGATTTTTGAGAGGATTTATAGTTGCCCCTTAGAATAACAAAAAAAAAAAAAAAAAAAAAATGCTTACCATTAGTAGATTTGCAGTCCACACCAGAGAAGTTACACAATGTTGGGCCATGAAGTGAGGCTAAGGAAAACGTCATTCCTAAATTAGCAGAGCTGAACTTAAGTCAGAAAGTAGAAGACTTCCCTTTCTACCAGTTAATTCAGACAGCCAGTCCTCTCCAGCTCGACAGCCATCTGCACCTCTTTAAGTTGTCATATTTGGTTTGATTGAAATGTTCACATAGTAAAAAAAAAGATTAGAAGTTCAAAACTTTCAAACAGCCAGAATGCTACTGACATGCTTTGTAAAAATCAAACCTATCTACCAAAAAATGAGCAGCTAAACAAAGAAGCCAATATAGAGACATTTTACTGGGGTCCGTTTTATTGTGAATTGTGAATTGCACAGTAACTAGTTTACAAAGCTCAGCCAACTGTGTTATCCAAGACAATTATAAATATCACCCCAACATTTTTTTAACGTGACTCTTTTGTAGCATTATTTGGAATGACCCTCCAAACAGCCAAAAAGTGGTGAATACTTTTCACATTGAATCATCGCTGAAGCATTGCTGTCATCTTCCAATTGTCACGACACCAACCTGTCAAGTGACCTGCAATGGAACACTTTTGCACAGAAGTTTATCAGGGTGCTTTGCATTGGCATATTGCAACTACCAGCAGTCTTGAAATGCCTTCTTGAGCCTTCAAATGCATGCTGTGCCACTTTCACACTCAGAGAGCTGACAGGGATCTTGCTGCTCTACTTATGAAAACATTCACTAATACTGCTCTTAGCAAAACAATAAAAAACAAAATACATATTCTCACAGAGCAGAAACACAACTGTACCTAGGAACGCATATATAATATCTGCCAATGTACTTGGTTAAAAGCCTAACACACTTCACAAAAAAGCTTGTCTTCTATTTAAGCACGTCCACACAACATGTAAATTGGTTGTAAATTTGCACTGAAATATAAAATATGCTCAAGACTAAGTGTCAGAATCAAGTTGATGCTTGTTGGATTTGAGTTTGTTTTGGTTTTTTGTGTTTTTTTTTGGGGGGGGAGAAGTTGGTGTCTGCATATTTGTCTTACCTAAAGAACCTTAGTTTAAAAGGCAGGTAAGTTAAAATGAGTACTTTTCTGCACAGCAGGAATTCAGGTTGATATTACCATATTAGAGTCAGGTTGATAATTACCACATTAGATTTCCCATATGAAAAATACAGGATACGAAAAGCAGCAGTTCCTCAGAAGACAATTTGCAATACTGAAAAATCCTTGGGAATCTCGATGGTGCGTGGCTGCAGGTCTTGGCTTTAAAAAATTTTGAGGATTTATGATCCATTCGCAAAGAAACAGTAAAATTGTGGGTATAAAGAAGCACTTTGTAAAAATCCTTGCATAAATTTTTACCTATAAGTAAAAAATATGGAGTCAGCAAAGTAAAAGCGGAAGTGTTAACATCTCTAGTTCTCATTCTTTTACTTTTGCAGCTAAACAACTACACATCAGAACTACACATCTTCTTAAAGGTGGCACCAAGGAATGATATTTTGTCACTTAGATGATAAAGGCAGGTTGTGGAGTTTCCATCCTTGGGGACAATCAAAAGCTATGTAGACATGGTTCTGGGCAACCTGCCTTAGCTGACCCTAAGGGTTGGACCAAACGGGCTCCAGAGGTCCCTTCCAACCTCAACCATTCCATGATTCTGTGAACTTCATTAACAAGAATGATGTGTGATGTTGCAAGAATGTGTCTACTAACCATACTACTGAATACTGTGGATGTGCTGTACAACAGAAAGTATATTTAACAAGAAAAAATAAAGATAATTTTCAGAGTTTAAATAATATTCAGTTATTAAATTCTGACTTCCTAAAACATGTCTTTCAGCTGATGCCTTAATGCATTTTTAATGCTGTAAGATTAAAGAAAATTTTCTCTTGCCTGAGTTCTCTAAGTCTTTATTTGATGGTGAGCAGGCAAAACAGTGGGGATAGCTTACAGCTGTAAATACTGCATTTCATTAATGGTTTGTCATGGCATGCATGATGAGTTTACATGATTTTACAGGTAACATTTAACAAAATTGCCATTGCCCATTCCTACTCCACACTGTGCTTTGTATAAGAAAGAACTCCACAACACAAATATAAACCCATATTCACAAAGTCTGTACCTGAACCACTAGCGGGGCCTTTCTTTTTCTCCACTCAGAGGCATCTTGGCCAGGGATTATGTATAAGATCACAAATCACAGCATTTGTTTTCCAGTGCATGCCATTTCTTACACTTTCTCAGGAATGCTCATCCGCAGTTGGCTCCTCCATTCCCATTCTATTCTTTGTAGTGGCAGATGGCCTAAAACAGGGAGCAGTAGTGGGACTTTGAATACACTGTAATTTTTCAGAAATCTACTGTGCGCTGTATATACTCCATCTCTCTGTTTCTCCCTTACCATTTTCCTAACCAGGATGAACTCTCCACCAGCCCCAAGTGGCTCCCCAAAGCTTGCATGCAACTGCAGCTACTTCACATAAGTAGTTCAGGAAGATTGCAGTAATTCCCGGATGTTAAACTGTGCCTAAAAGAAAAGGATTTGCTGCTACAAATTTGAGTTGTAACAAAGGTTAGTTCTAGGTTAAGAAATATCGGGTAGTTGTAAACAAAAGATTAGCTTGCCCTACCTCTTGGAAGCTATAATATTTTTTCCATCTCTCCCTTCACAGTGCCCCATAGTTTGGCAAAAGCTTATCTCCTACAGTCTGCATGTGGAAGAGTTTTGCTTATCTATCATGTTCATTATTATGTGGTTAGACAGTAGCCACCACCCGCTCTTAACTATGATGTGAAATGAGGAATGCGTGAAGATTTACTGCTTACTGTCTAAAGGCAGCTTGGAAGTACATCTCTGCAGGAATAAACTTGCTTTTCAACTTAAAAAGTACAGCATGCACCTTGCTTCAGAATACCAAGGAAAATCAACATAGCAGGAAATCCCCATGTTGACACACTCAGGTTGGTGCCACCATTCTGACCTAATGAGGAAAGGAAATGACTTACAAGTAAGACCTACATGCCGGAATCAGCAGCTTCCATGAAGCAGCAAGGGGTGTTCAAGGCTTGGGCTCAACTCTCGTGGTGGCAGTCACATCTATAGCACCTTCTCAGCCCCCCAGCTTGTTAGAAATAATAGAAATAGAGATCAAATTAGGAAGAAAAAGTTTACAATGGAAGTCAAGAAAGGCTGGTTTCTCTTTTTCGGCTGAACTGCTGATGACAAGACTGTTTTATTCCCCCAGGGGTTTCCATTGATCCCCCAGTACTGCTCTTACTAGGCAAAAGATCACACACTGTCACTCGTCTTTGTAGATCTCTCATGCTTTGCCTTCTACAATTGTTCCACAGTGGAAAACATCACTTGCCACTTTCTGAATACTGCCATCCATTGCCACAAAACACACTGCTCATAAATCCAGGAGGTCTTGTGGGACAACAGACAAAAGCTGCAAGTGGGCAGCATTTCACACAGCCAATTTTGGGAAAGTGGTGAGAAGGAGCCACCTTGGACATGCCTTCAAGTGGTGGGGTGCAGGTATTCCCTCCAGCTATTTTTGGGCTGTGGGGAGGAAAGCCATCTACACACCTCAGCCTCACCACAGGTTTCTGAGGTACTGCCCATGGGGCTGGAGGACCAGGCCCCCACTGACTAATGCTGTGCCTGTAGCAAGCCATTGCTGAGCCCTGTGGGAATGCTAGTGCCTGCCTCAGGCAGGGCAGGATGGCAGAGACTCAGTGAAACCCCATGGCGACGATCACACACCAAACTGAGGTGGCTGGCAGAGGAAGGTAGTCTTGCACGTTTTCCCTGTGGCCCCATGTCTTCCACAGGCTGGTTCAGAGGTAAGCACTAATTTAAGGAGTGATATCAGGGACTCTGAAAACCCTCACATTTTCAGCTGTCAAAGCTCAGAAGAATTTTACCT